CTCCCCTTTCCCTTCACCCTATGACCTCCCCCTTCCCTTCTCCCCACGCCCTCCCCTTTCCCTTCACCTTATGACCTCCCCCTTCCCTTCTCCCCATGACCTCCCCTTTCTCTTCTCCCCCTTCCTTCCAGGCACCTCCACGCACTCATGGAAGGCTGCCAGGTGGTTATCAAGGTGGTTACAGCACGTAATAACTTCGTATAGCATACATTATACGAAGGTATACGACCCTTCTCCCCACGCCCTCCCTTTCCCTTCACCCTATGACCTCCCCCTTCCCTTCTCCCCACGCCCTCCCTTTCCCTTCACCCTATGACCTCCCCCTTCCCTTCTCCCCACGCCCTCCCTTTCCCTTCACCCTACGTAATAACTTCGTATAGCATACATTATACGAGGTTATACGAGGGAAGGGGGAGGTCATAGGGTGAAGGGGAAAGGGAGGGCGTGGGGAGAAGGGAAGTCGTATAACTTCGTATAATGTATGCTATACGAAGTTATTACGAGAAGGGAGGGGGGAGGGCGTGGGGAGAAGGGAAGGGGGTGGTCATAAGGTGAAGGGAAAGGGGAGGGGGGGGGGGGAAGGGAAGGGGGAGGTCATAGGGTGAAGGGAAGGGGGAGGGCGTGGGGAGAAGGGAAGGGGTCGTATAACTTCGTATAATGTATGCTATACGAAGTTATTACGTGCTGTAACCACCTTGATAACCACCTGGCAGCCTTCCATGAGTGCGTGGAGGTGCCTGGAAGGAAGGGGGAGAAGAGAAAGGGGAGGTCATGGGGAGAAGGGAAGGGGGAGGTCATAGGGAGAAGGGAAAGGGAGGGCGTGGGGAGAAGGGTCGTATACCTTCGTATAATGTATGCTATACGAAGTTATTACGTGCTGTAACCACCTTGATAACCACCTGGCAGCCTTCCATAAGTGCGTGGAGGTGCCTGGAAGGAAGGGGGCGAAGAGAAAGGGGAGGTCATGGGGAGAAGGGAAGGGGGAGGTCATAAGGTGAAGGGAAAGGGGAGGGCGTGG